TAGTAAGCTTGATCCACAGTGCATCTGCATAAACAACCTTGTGCAGAATTAATCATGACACAGCCACAACAATTGCTGTTAAACATGACCCTCACAACTTCCACACCAACCTCCCCATACATTACTACATCAGACCGAGCCATCATAACCTGTAAACAACAAAAAGCAATGCATAAATTTGTTATAATCCGCAACAGAGGGTCATCCACAACAAGACAACACAAGAAAGATCTCATAGCCACTCACAAAAATTACCACACTATAAAATAAGGTACAGCTGCTACACTCTGCACAACAAAACAAACTCTGCACAACCATACAGCTAACACCTCAAACCACACCAGATAATACCTGCACATGAAAGCAACTTGACATCAATAGCAAGAAAGAGAAAAAGGAAATCAGAAAGGGGGGAAGAGGAGATACTGTATTGGGGAGATTCAGGATTCCTCTTTTCCTTCTTGAGCATAAAAGGGGGGAAGGACTTGAAAGGGGAAAAACAGGAAAAACAACCAGCTCGTTCATTCAAATCTCACTAGAAATCTCCACCTTCTTCATCCTTGAACCCCAAGCTCTCAGTCCCTTCACCATCATCCAAACCTCAACCTACAAACTTCAAAACTCACGTTAATAATTCCAAAACAACCTCCAAATCCCTAAATCAAAGAAAATATCCCAGAGCCATCCTTCTTCCATCAACAAAATCTCCAATCTCTGAATCTTTTTCTGTTTGAATATCCCCAAATCCATTTCGAAATCAAAACCCAGAAAGCTCCTTCAAAAACCAAACCATTTTGCTGAAACCCTCCTCATTTCTCTAACCTTTGTAATCTTCATTCACCTTCAACAATAATAAACCCAAATAACCCCCTTTCTCTTGAACGAAAACCTTCTTCAAAACCCCATTTATCATTCTTCTTCAATCCATAATAAAAACCACAACCTCTTCAACCAAAGCTTCGAAACATATACAACCGAAATCTATTTTCAGACCCCAACATCTCGCCCTTCTTCTTCTTCGTTCACCCCTTAAGACAAACCCAACCTTTCTCTTCTTCAGAACCTCATTTCCAAACTTCAATCAAACCCTTCACTCTTCAAGCAAAACTTCTGACAAGACCTCCCCAACCTGTAAATAATAGAGCTTTTTTTAATCGATACCCTCAAGTCTTCTTCAAAAGACAACTTTGAAATCCAAATCAGAAATAGATGAAGATGAAATAGAAAAGAGGTTCAACGAGTGTTAGCCGTGGATAAAGAGAAAAAGGGAGTAAAACGAATCACATACCGGAGCACGTATGAGTTGAAATCGCGACTGTAGTAAAGGAGAGAGTGGGAAGATCCGGATCGTGGAGGGGCTCGGGTTCCGTTGCCATGGCGTCGTCGTAGTTCTCCGTGGATTGATGACTCGGTTTCTGTTTTGGTAAAATGAGGTTTCCATTTATCAGCGTTTTTTATTTTTCTGTTTTGAATACGATTCTGAGCCTGTATTGTTTTTCACTGAGTTTCCATTGATTTTGACTGTACCTTGTTTTAATGACTTGTGCGTTGGAAAGGACTCTATTCCTCTTTCATGGGCTTCGTGGAAAGCCCACTTCAACCATTTTAACCTCACCCCCTGCACCTTGTTTGGTAACCCCCTGTCCGTTGAGGAGGATGTTGGGCTTTCATACATAGCCCATGTTGTTTCCTTATTCATACCACCTTTTTCCTCAGGCACCCCCTTCCTTTTCTTTCTTTCTCATTTATAATTTTTTTTTAAGATGAAGTTTTTAATATAATGTTTTTATAAATGATTTTCTTAAAATAATTTTGATAACTTTTATTGAGATCTCATTTATTTTTATGTACATATTTATTTTGTTAAGATTTTCAATTAATATTGGATATACTTTCGATTATATTTTTATTTTTATTTTGTCGCGTTTTCGGTCGATGACGATACCCCAAAGTTATTTTTCTGTCAAATTATTGATGAAGAATAACAAACCCGAGACCAACCTTTTTCAAACTTTTCATTTTCTATTTTCATCGATTTTTATCCATTTTTCATATTATCATATTTATCTTACTATGTATTATTGTCATATTCATATTATCATATTTATTCATTCTTATTCACCCATATTCGAAAATACCTAATAAATTATCGAAACCGCTAAAAACCGATTTGGTGGACTGTTGGATCTTTGGTCATTTGCAGGTATCCTAATTTTAAGTCGTGCCCGATTTTGCTCAAGGCGTAGTTTATGACACAAATGCACACACACGGCTTTCTCTTGGGCTACCTTACAATGAGACCCCTTTATTTCGTGCAATCCCGTGTAATTTACTTGTACCCCTCTCCCATTACGATGTATGTTTCGCATTTCTTTGATTATTAGTTCATCTCCTAGGAGCACCCATAGGGACTAGAGCGATTCAAACTATTTTCAAACTAATTCTCGATTCATCATCGAGCCACTTTCAAACAACCTCGTAAGTCGAGTGCTCATACGCATTCGCCATCAACCTATTACAACTCGACCCTTGATGCGTAAGTCAAGTCGGTCTCTTTTGCAAACCATTTCATTTCCAACACGTTTTGCACACGATAACGAGTCAAACCCTTGATCCAACGTCAAACGGATTTTCTAAACAAACTATCAATCAATTAACAACTATTTAACACTTTTCAAGGTGTAAAAAGTGGGTTCAAGTCTTTGAGCTTGCTTTCGATTGTTTGGATGCGAGTTATCTTATTCGTGTGTGAGCAGTTGACGCCTTTAAATAACATTAACAAACTCGACAATATTAACTATCCTACAACTACTCATCTTCCCAAACACAACTCAAACAAATTCCTTCACGATGAAAAAGAGAGTGTTCCAAGTCTTTGGTTCGCTTTCTCGATTACTTGGAGTCCGAGAAGTCTTTCTTAAGCTTCAAGTAATTGTCATCGTTTCAAACACCATTCAAACACAACTCCTCTTGCGATGAAAAAGAGAGTGTTCCAAGTCTTTGGTTCGCTTTTCCGATTACTTGGGGTCTGTGAAGTCTTTCTTAGGCTTCAAGTGATCGTCATCATTTCAACCTTATCCTTTCAAACTCATCATTCATTCATGATGAAAAAGAGAGTGTTCCAAGTCTTTGGTTCGCTCTCCCGATTACTTGGGTCCGAGAAGTCTTTCCTAAGCTTCAAGTAATCGTCATCCGTACCCCTTTCAAACTCATTCAAATCCTATTCCTCTTCGTGGTCGTTACCACGAACTACAACTGCTCTGATTCTTCATTCATTCTTGAATGTAAGATACGTAGGCACAAGATTGCGATGATCTTGGCGAGCACAATGTCCTCCAACCATCCCCCTTCCCCTAGCGTATTTAGCCTTTATAGTATCCTTTAGTATTTAGTAGTGAGAAGAAAAGAATTAAGTTTAGCTAACATCCATCACAACTCGAATTAAGAGGTTCCCGTTGAGTACAACGGACGTGAGGGGTGCTAATACCTTCCCCTCGCGTAACCGACTCCCGAACCCAGGAACATTTGGTTGCGACGGTCGTGTTCCTTCTGCGTTTATGAGGTTTTCTCGACATTTTCCTCTCCCGTTCATTCAGGAAAAATAAAGTTCGGTGGCGACTCTGTCGAACCGCATTTTCCACACCTTTTGCGCGAGGGTCGTATGTTCGAAATGGAATTTTCGAGGTGCGACACAATGATCTTAGGAAAACCGAAGGATATGACATTCACAACAAGCATCAACTTCGTGTATCTCCGTCGACCGGTTCTAGAGAGGTCCCTCTTAGAGATACCTTAAGCGATGGTGCTTGGTGTGTGGTGTAGGACCCTGTAGTCATCTCTTGCAAGAAAGGAAACAATGGATGATAGGGTCAGAGTGAAAGGTGTTGTTTGTTAAAAGGAGGTATGACCCAGGTTAGTTTTACCGGGCCCCACGATGGGCGCCATTGTACTATTAAAAAAAGTGCAGGGTGTGTGTGCGTGTTCCCCCTACAAGGACAGGGAGACTCAGCGACCCTAGTAGGTATATTACACGAATGAGGTGAAGGCTAACACATGGTCGCTTGTACGATGATTTTTTAGTCTATTTAATGAACCAACTCACGTGAAGTGAGATGCCCTGTTGGTGGTCGATGCTACTAGGTTGCTGGCAGACAGATAAACTGACAGTGTTAGGATTACTAGGAGTGAAGTGCTCTTTGAATAATATTTGATGATATTGAGTGGATATGACTCGATCCCCTTAGGGATGATGTATTTATAGAGATTCATGATTCTTAGGGCTTTCTTGGAAAAGGTCGTCGCTCACCCAGTCAAAAAGTGAACAGTTGAATTTCTATTTCTAGAGAATAGGTGGGTCAGTAACTATCTTGACTTTCCCATTATCCCAAACGCGTCTTATCTCACTTTTCTTCTTCCTAAGAGCAAAAAAAAAAGGACGAGGTAATAACTCTCTTCAGGCGACCTTACGTCGCGCACTTTTCCTAATACAGTCCCAAACTACCGCCCTTGATAAAATTATTTGCAGATAAAACACTACTTAACTTATATTTTCATAATTTTAACTTCTTATAATTCATATTTATTTTATTTATCTCATCGTTAAGATAAAGAAATTTTAGACAATTGTCCAATAAAAAATTCTTAATCACCTAAATCATTTAAATTATTTTAAAATATCAATATAATTTAATAGGATATACTACTAAATTATTTTACATGCATTACATCTCCTATTTTCTCATTTTCTTTAATGAAAATAGACACAATATGGAAGTCATTAGGAGACATGACCAATTGAGTCAAAAAAAGAAAAGAAAAAGAGATAAAAGAAATTGTGATTGTATCAACGCGCTTGCTTCCTCTTTTGACATAACGTTTGCTTTCTCTTTCATTCCGTGTAGGTACCGTTTTCCCTTTTTCACTTCTATTCTACATCACAATGCTCTACACCTGATCAGTAAGTAGCAAATAATCAATTTTCATTGCCTAAAAGAATCAAAATGCCTTCATTTTTGGGTTCGATTTTGCTCGGTTTCGGTTTCGGTGTGGTGGCTGTTGTTGCCGTTCAAGCTCTGGCACTGTTATGGATAATCAAACGGTTACGCCACAGCCACAATCTCCATGGCGAGCAAGCTCATAAACTGGAAACTGAATCAAACCAGCTTGATCATCAACAATCTCTTCATTTTGCGTCTCACAAGCAGGTCTATTCTCAGCTCAAGCTCAAACTCCGATTTTCCCCCTTTTGTCATTTGTGTTGTGTTACTGTGTTCGTTATGGTAACATACTGAAAATTAGAAATGCTTTTTGAAGTTTCTAAGTTAGAGAGGGCGGTGTAAGCTAATTGTGTGAACAAAATTGATTTTGAACTGAGTTGATTAGTTAAATTGAGGGATAAAATCTACTGTAGAAGTTAAATAAATTAATTCCTAGTTTAAGTTAGTATCAATTCTGCATACGCAGATCTAAACATGTCATAATCAATTCTACATTTCTGAAATCAAGTTTGACTCAGTGCAAAAGTGAAACCAAAATATACAAGATTATAGACCTGTTTGGGTAAACAGCTTATAGCACAGGCGCTTATCAAAATAAGTGCTTATGAATAAGTTCGCATAAACTATTTTTATAACAAAAGATAAAATAAATATAAATTGTTTTTATATATGTTATAAGTTGTTTTCATTAGCTATCTTGAAGAATTTATAGAAATAAGTTAAAAATTTTTATGAAAAATGTCCTAAACTGTTTTGATTAAGTCTCCCAAATAGTGTCACAAAATTTATGGCAGCAGATAAACTCAAATAAGTTCATCCAAATAGGTTCTATGTATTTGATTACCAAAATAGTGAATAAACAGAACATTTTATTATTATTATTATTATTTATTATTAAACTCTTTATCATAATAGTTTTGGCTTTCAGGGTGTGGTTTGGGTCCTTGAATCAGGAAAAATTTCAAAAGAGCCCAAAAGAAAAGGGTTATTGGAGGTTTCACCTATTAAAATGTATGGAACAATCAAGGGTGAGTCACTTATTCTAAGAAAACCTGATGGTTTGCAGCCACACTCAACAATTGAACTCAAGAGTTGTACCGTTCAAGCCGTGTCAGCTTCAAACCTTTCTTCAAAAAAATGGTAATGTCATCTCACTGTTATGACCCTCTTTTTACTCTCTTATTAGATTCTAGTACCTTTAATTTTTCTTTTATATATGAATGCAAAGTCATCTAACAGGTCGCAAGAATTACCATAGTGGCTAGAGTTGTAGTTCCTCTTTTCTAACTTCTCTTTTGTTCCTTTCAAAGGGAAGATTGTCCAAGTGAATATATTTTGATTTAACGTATGACTCAATGCTAAGAATGTAAAGTAATTTGCAGACTTCACTGGTATTTAATTTGACACAGGGAAATCTCATATCTTTTGACCCTTACATACCTTAAACTAAAGTAGCTTTTGATAGCAAGGATTTTCGGTATCATATGTCAAAAATATTGGAATTATTAGGCCCCGTTTACTTTCTAAATTTACTTTTTTCATTTCTAAAATAAATAATGAAAGTAAAAATAAATTTGTCCAACTGTTCTCATTGTAAATTTCAGAAAGTAAATCAGTATCTTAGAAAATTCTGATAATGCTAAAAAGTCCTTTTCACCAATTCCAAAAAGGCTACCGTAACTCACAACCTGCATATGGCAATGGAAATGAAAAATGAGCATATGATGGATTGGTGGTGAGAAGAAAGCTGCTTTAAACTCATAAAACCAAAAATGAAAACTAAGCATATGATGAATTGGTGGCAGTGAGAAGAAAGCTTCTTTACATTCATAAAACCAAAAGTGAAAAAATGAGCATATGATGAATTCGTGGCAGTGAGAACAAAGCTGCTTTACACTCATATTGAAAACTGAATCTTTTCAGAAAGTAATTAAACCCTTAAATTTTGTTTTAACAACGGGGTCATTTATTAAGGAAATTAAGTACTGAGTTCTTATTTGATTGATGATTATTAGGTTTTTATATTGGTTTGAGTCTAACTCATTCTTACAAAACCAGTTCGTAAAGTGAGGGGGTGCCATCTTTATCCTATGTGAGACTTGTTTTTTTTTTCTCCAATAATGATAATTTTGTCTTTTTGGTACAAATTGGTGATGAATCTTACAGGGCAAAAAAGTTCCCCATCAAAGTGGAAAACAAGACCTCAGTAATATACAATGGAAGTAAAACTCTATATTTGTATCTGGAAACTTCATGGGAAAAAGAAGCATGGTGTAAGGCTCTCTATCTGGCTTCATCTGAAGAAAAAGAAAAAGTCAAATGGTTCACCCAGGTGCATGAGGACTTCCATAGTTACCTGACATCCTTAAATTCCGTGTATCATTGTTTTATGAAACCATCAGTAGGATTAAGTGTTGAGGCAATAGAAAGGGATATAAAGCCTGATGATCCTTCCTCAAAAGTTCGTCAGTTTTTGAAAAAGATCGCTAAAAAAACTTCCCGAGTTGGTTTAGAAAATAAATCTACATGGGCTTCATTGTCCGGCCATGAAGGAAAAAAGAGCACTGAGAACCTTAGTGCAAGCCAAGATGCAGTTTTGGGAACTGATTCAACATCAAAACATCTTAAAAATTCTTTAGTAGACAATGCTACCCCATTGGGAAGTGAGAATAATCACTCTGCCAGCTCTGAAAGAGATGTTGAAAAGAAGTTTGATATTGATGAGGGAACATTATGCTGGAATTTATTGATTTCCCGACTCTTTTTTGATGTCAAAGGCAGCATGCAGTTGAAGAGATCTTTGCAAGAAAGGATTCAGGTTTAACCTTTCCCGTTTGGCATTTAAATGTATTTGCACGATTCTGTTTTTATTATGTTTGTTAGTGAAAATGAGCGTCATTTCATTTTGGTATCAATTTCTAGCTACTTATCAATATTTGTTGTATGAATTGATAATTTTATGCTGAAAACATGATGCAAGCTATTATATCTTCTAATTGAAGCCTTTTGCATTGTTAGTAGCTCCAAGAACTCCTGTTTATAGGTACAAGGTGGACTCTGTTAAGTTTAAGACTTCAACTTAGAATGTTCTATCATTTGAAATGTCTCTATGGAGTGGTTTTGTAAATTTTACTGATCGGGTCATAGGATAGATTTATATCCCATCATATCAACCAGATAAAAAAGGAATATATCCCTTTGTCCGTGTTCTTGATTGTAGTGAATGGAGAAAGTAAGCGTTGATTCAAATAATTGTTTGAACTGTAGTTGATTTTTCTAAAGATCTATAGTGTTTGCTTACAGAGAACAACAACTTAGAAAACTACATTTCATCTCATTATATTTTTTATGAGAAAAATGATGGTTGTTTCTTTCTTTCTTTTTGCCACAGAGAACATTGTCAAATATGAGGACTCCCAGTTATATTGGTGAAATCATCTGCACTGACATCAATACTGGGAATGTTCCACCTTGTATTGTAGGAATGAGGGTTCTTCCTATGGAAATGAGTGAGGTTTGGGCCTTAGAAGTTGACATTGAATATTCTGGAGGAGCAGTATTAGAGATTGAAACAAGGCTTGAAGCTCGCGAACTTGAGCTCCAAACAAAGACAGAAGACTCAAATTCGGAGCCAAGCAATGTTGGGGCTGTCCCATCAGATCTTCTTGAAGGTTTTGAATATTTAGAAAAGCAATTGAAACTTGAAGAAAGAGATAATGATTTTCAAGGGCAAAAGGATGATGGTAATCAAAACAATGGTTAGTAAATAAATCCCAAAAAAGTTCAATTGTTTATGCACTTTTAGTGAGGTTGTATAAATTCCAATAATTTATGAACTTTATCAGAGTTCTATCAAACCCAATTTTTTATTATCCTTTTTCTTCTTGAAATCTGACTTCCTTTTGGTTCTACATCTATTTTTTACTGTAATTTCCACGTTTTAAAACTAAGCTTACAGGTAGAATGGTACATGGAGAATTGTGTGGTTTTCATTGTAGTTTTCTCCCTTCTGTTTTCCTAGAGGATACAGAAACAATTGTTTCTAGTTCTGCTTTCATAAACTTTCAAAATGTGAAGGGGAGATAGTTAATAGTTTTCATATTTGGAAGTGTTATTATATTGTATTTAGATCAATGGAATAATGTGAATATTGTTTTTCCCTAAGCAGATGTATCAAAGAGCTTTAAAAGCACAATGTCTTTCTCAAATGATGGACCACGATGGAAATCAGTGTTAAATTCTGTTGCCAAACAAGTTTCACAGGTACTCTCTACTACTCTCCATTATTCTGTTCATTGCTTATTCCCACTACACCTTTTGCAGTTCCTAGACTTCTTTTTTAAACATGTGCGGTTGTACCAAATGTGTTTTCCCTTATTATTTTGATGTGTGACATACCTTAGGAAATTACACTGACCTACCGAAAGCCCTTCAGATGTTACAAAATATACTGACTTTCCTTTCAGTATCTTTTCATTGTATTGATACCTCCTCTACGGAAATGTTTCCCAGACACTAGTATCATGCACAATCTTTTCATACAGATATATCCATGAAAAGTTAACCTCAAGGTTGTATAATACGAAACTAGAGGCGGTATTTGCATAGGTTTTGTAAAATTTCATTGAGGCCAATTTAAGGATATATTTGGTTTGAAAAATATTTTCTATTTTCACTTTTAGTTATAAAAATTATAACCACTATTCGGGCCATATTATTATCCAATGCAGGGCTCTTGACACTCCCTCACACTCTACTAGACATTTGGAGTGTGGCTCCAGTGGCCCGTTAAGGGGTGATCCAACGGGTCTAAGACATCTAACATAAACTAAGACACCATCTTAAAATTTGGTAACCTTAACTTAAATTATAACCACTATTTGACATTTTTTTTTCCTGTTAAGTTTTGGTATACATATATGCATTTCTTTATGACTCAAATGACTAACATGCACCGGTGAATATTTTGATTAGCTATGCATGTTATCTTCATCTGCACTCTTCTCTGTTTTGCACATGCAAGGAATTGTGATTTACCTCATTTGGATACTCCTGAATATTGCAAATGTTGGCCTTGAGAATTTTCTTATGCATTCACGTACATACACATTTAACTATTTTAAAATGTGCAGATGTTTTATTTTCTATAGCTATCAGCTTATATACAGCTAACCTTGTTTTATTCTCAAAGTAACGGATGATTTCTTATCGAAAGGTTCCTCTCTCTTTGGCAATAAAAGTAGCATCCCTAAAAGGGACGTTGCGTTTGCATATAAAACCACCTCCCTCTGATCAACTGTGGTATGGTTTCACATCAATGCCAGACATAGATTTCAACTTGGAGTCTTCTGTTGGAGAAAATAAGATAACTACTGGGTACTTCTCTTCATTAGTAGTCAATAGGCTAAAGGTATGATAGCTCTCTTTCCATTCCATTTGTAATTTCAAATTTTGGTTAAATACTGCTCTCTCCCTGCAGCTTTTCTATTATGGTCTTCAATTTCAAATGTTTTCTTGTTCCATTTTCTTTATTTTTATTTTATTTTTCTAGAACTATTTACATATATCATCAGTACCAGTAATTACAAAAAAGTAGATAAAGCCTTAAAGGTCTGTTTGTGAGTTGTTTTTGGAGGGTTTTGAAGGGAAGGACTTTGGCGGGCAACGTCTATCTTATGATATGTATTTGATATTTTAAAAAGAAATTAAAAAAAACAATATGATATTATATGTTAATGTATCATATTGTCTTTTTCAAATTTTTTAAAATTTCAAATATGCATCAAAATATAGACATAGCCCTCCAAAGCCCTTCCTTCCAAAAATCAACTTGCAAACCGATCCTAAGTTTTTTCCTCCTTCTGTTAGTTCATATGTGCTTCCTTTACATGCCAAAATGTTCTCTCATTACAAATGTCTACCCTTCAGTTAATTGTGTAACCATAGAAATCAGGGTTTATTAATATTATTTTTCATTGTACATCTCTTTAACAATGACCTTCTTTTGTTGAGATGTCTATTATGCATGAAATAGTTATTATGCATTTGGCAAGATTGTTGACATCCTCAATCTTCAGTACACTTCAGTAGGCTATGAAATATGTTTAAACTTCATTTCTATGTAGAAAGGATTATAAAAGTTGCTTTTAACTGTAAGCTAATTTAACTTTGCTCATGCAGAGAGCAGTTTTGGAAAATATAGTTCTCCCAAATTGTGAGAACATATGTATCCCATGGATGTTAGCAGAAAAGGAAGATTGGGTTCCTTCAAATGTTGCTCCATTCATATGGATTAACCAAGAATTTAGGAATGAGACTTCCACTTCAATTAATACCAATAAACAATCTTCTGGTGGTGTGGAAGCTAGGTCAAAAGCTAGTGCAAGCACATCAACTAATGGTCAAACGAACAAACAACAAAAACCGAAGAAGAGTGTCGAATCTAGTCAAGAACCAACTAGTAAATCATCAGATTCTTTAGCACTACCAACAAGTTCATCTGGTTCACAAACACTGGAGAGTAGCAGCCACTTGGAAGAACTGACAATACCTTTATTAGAGAATGAGCAACCACAAGGTACTAGGGGTGCGAAAGAACCTACATTACAGAATGACAATCAACTCGAAACTAGTGAAAACAAGATGGAAAATAATTCAGAAGTTGTCTCACCACAAGGAAGTATGGTGGTGGTGGAGAAACAAAATCATACCCTTGCCCATGAAGATGGACTTCCAAAGAAAATGGGGAGAAAGGAAAGGATGTTAGGTTTGGGGAAGAAAATGGGGGAGAAGTTGGAAGAGAAAAGACGTCATATTGAAGAAAAGAGCAGGCACATTGTTGAGAAGATGCGAGGACCATGATAAATGCAGTTCATGGTATGTTGGTCTTGTGAAAAACAATTTCTATCCATACAATCTAGATTCATGTTTGAGGAATGTTTCGCTTTAGATACTATTAATCATCAATGATCATTCATTATAATAGATCTTGTTTGGGGTCAAGACACTAGTCACTTCTTCACTTCATTACATTTAATGTACTAGCCAATGCTTACATTTTGATTTAGAGTCAATGAGATTTAACAAACTTATTGCATCAGTATCAAGTGGATAACATTACCTCTAATTGCAAATACATTTAGAAGTTGATAGACAATGTAACTTGTACATTAATGAAGCATATTTCTAGGTGAAAAATAATGTGTGGTTCCATTATGCGTCGCTCCTCTTAGGAGCAACGACTAGTTAGAATGGTTTGCCAACAGTGTGTGTCAAAACATGACTTCTACTGTTTATCTTCTTCTCTGGCACAAGAAATTAATTGCTTTTGGGTGTCAGAACATACATCTTACAACCATGTGAATCTAACTCAGCAGAGATTTCTCCTGAAACCAAAGATTGTGTCGAGTGCTGCAGATATCACCACATCATCAAAACCATCGAAATTCAAATTGCTCTGCACTATAAAAAAGAACAAGCCTAATTGACTATCTGACCTCCCATAAATCTCTAGCATCAACTTTAATTCCTGGTTCCAGACCTATGTCTATCTAGGATGCAGCTACTGTTGCATTTGATTGAACTTCTGTTCCATAAGATAAATGCTACTTTGTTATTACTAAGAGCTCCTACCATACCTATCACCATAGATTTCTAATAAGAAATTGTGTGCAAGAACTATAACACAATTTTCACATGCATATCATATGAATGTATATAATCTACAAATGATATTGCCTACAAGGTTGCATTAGTTTGCATTTACTTTTAGTTGAAGATCCAATTTGTGTTGAAATGTGAAGAAAATTTAGTATCATTATAAATTGTGAGGAACTTAAACACAAAAAAGTAAAAATGAAAAGATAAAGATATCACCTCCAGATCATTGTTGCTTTTCACTTTCTTTTCTTGAACTCCAACTTTATCAAAATATGTTGGGTTCAAAGCAATCTTTATTGAATAAATCAATGCATTTATCTTTCAAGTCTACTTGCCTTGGTTTACTGCAAAAACTTCCGTGTTGCTTATCAGCTCATATGTTGTATTATCCATTGCTTGAATATAACAATCAACTAGCAAGGGGTGTATTTAAACACAGAAAAATAGTTAAACAACAAATTCAGCATATATTAAATTGTCTCAACAACTGGTATTTAAAATTTGTTTCATGCACCTTAGCTAATGCCCAGATACTGAAATGGAACGATATTCCTCTGTGGTCATGCTTCCATTTTCAACAACGAGATGTCAGGATCTAATAGCCAAATAGAAATGACATAGTAGGACCTGCTATTGAAGTTAGCTGTAATTGTAATGATCTAATTAAATTACCATTCTATCTTTCAGGTAGGTCCAGCATAGGATATCCCATTTTGTTAAATTTGTAATTCTTTGTGTTAAGTATGTTTGTAAAGTTTAGGATTCGACAGAGTCAAAATCGAATATGTTCGATAGAGTATTAAATATGCATGTATTTGACCGAAGGTTGAATACAACTTATAGGAGAAGGAGATGCACATATTTGACAGAGAATTTAATACAACTAGCTGAAATCGAAGTAGTCAGAATTCGACAAAGTTAGATAACAACTTGTTGAAGTTAGTTAATTTGAGATTGTTTGATGTGTAAGCAATCTCATTATAAATATGGAGGTACTCTACAATGCAACAAGACAATTTTTCATTCAATACATTACATTCTTCTTCCTTTCTCTAAAATCCTAATTTTTCTCTATTCTCTTTTATTGCTAAAATTATTTTCTCTCTTCAAATCTTCGTGCGGCGGGATCGTCTTGCAACCAAGGTGTGGTTGATTCACTCGAGTGAAGAGTGAGGAATGAAAATATCGAATAAATTGAGAAAGCGATTGAATCTTGTTCCTTCAAGGTTGATTCTAACATCTGGTATCTAGAGCACTGGATGCGATTCTCGGAAAGTATAGAACAATGACTTCTCATTCGAATGAACATTTTCCAACAAATCTTCTCATCTTCAATGGCAAAAATTATGATAATTGGCGTAAGCAGATGAAGGTTGTCTTTTTCTATCAAGACGTTTGGGATATTGTGAAGAATGGAGTAACACCAATTGGCGAGAATGCCACATACAGACAAAATATTTGTGGGTCGATACATAATGTGTGTAAGTCGACTTATCCTGGATTGTAGTCAACTCCAACTAAAGGATTTGGCAAGCCAAATGGCTATGCCTTGATTGTATCAACTACTAGGGTATATGTATCGACTCCTAAGCTTTATGTATCGACTCATACTTATTTGGAGTCGATACATTATGTTCTAAATTTTCAAAACTTGTCATTTTTGCTAAAAAATTGTTTTTGTTTGTTATTTCTTTCTTTCTCTCTCTCTCTCTCTCTCTCTCTCTCTCTCTCTCTCACACACACACACACACACACACACACACACACACACACACACACACACACACACACACACACGCGCACACACACACACACACACAAATATGCATTCATGCATCATTTCTCGAAATCGAAACCAAGAACATACAAAAAATTTTCTCATCATCTTCAACCTTTTTCTCATCATACATTCAACAATTACACATAATCTTTTTTTGTTAAGTGTCATCTAGATAAGATTGATAAGGTCCAATTCAGGATTGTTGTAATCAAATTGGATTGAGTATTCGTTAGGGGTTTCATTGATGAAACCAGTTAGGGGTTTCTCTCCAAGATCAAGTTGATTTGGGGGGAGGGGGGGGGGGTTGTACAAGATTTTACAACGAGGATTCAGCCGAGTGAAAGCTTTGAAGAACGAAGTTCTGTCAAAGGAGTAACGGTAACCAGATGATCGACTTGGAAATCTTGGATCACTTGATCTTGCTTAAGATCAAGGGGGAGAAGAAGTTAGAATCAACATCAAACATATGGTTTAGGGGTTTGGATTGCTACTTTTTCTCATGTATACAACATTTGCAAATGTTAATTGAATATCTCAATTTCATTTGGGATTGGGGGCATATGTACCTAAAGTGAGGGCAATTGAGGAATTGTCTAAATAAATCTTTGTGTTCTCTCTCTCTCTCTCTCTCTCTCTCTCTCTCTCTCTCTCTCTCTCTCTCACACACACACACACACACACACACACACACTCTCTCTCTCTCTCTCTCTCTCTCTCTCTCTCTCTCTCTCTCTCTCTCTCTCTCTCTCTCTCTCTCTCTCTCTCTCTCTCTCTCTCTCTCTCACAATTTGATAATTCATTTAGTTTGCAACTTCTTATGCTGAAAATTTTGTTTGTGTTGAAGTAATTCAAACTGTTTTATAAGACAATTGCAATTGGTTTTCCATATTATCAACATAAAGGAAAATCAACTTGGTTTTTATTGTACACCAAGTGTTTGATAAATTGATTACACATAAAGTTTTGATAGTTTGTCTTAGTCATCGTTGTTTTCCATTTCAATGGAAATTGATTATCATAGTGTGATATAATTCAAACGTTATTTTGAAAAAAATATTGATTTGGTTTCTCACCATTCTAATACGTTTTGTTACGGTTTAATACACATATCTGATTCTTCCGATAACGGCTCCGGATAGATGGATGTCGATCCAGAATTGTTTTCGCTTGCCATAGTAAATGATTTTTTAAATAAATTTTAATTGAAGAAAATTTTATCAACGATATATTCAACCCCCTTCTAGATCGTTGTCCTCGTCTAACATGGGCGGGCTGGTTGGTTGAATTGGGACATTGAATCATTTTGGAAACTAAGCAATGATTCTTGTGGTGTTTGAAAGGCATTTGTTGGTTGGATGCTTTGACGATATGATGTTTGGGTGCTTTGGTGATGTGATGTTTGAGTGTACATTGATTAGGCGCTACGGTAGGATGTGGTGAAATCATATGCCTTATCAAGGCTATAGTAAAATGTGGTGGCGGCATATTCGTCATGCTCTTGGTTTTGTATTTGGGTGTGTGGCATGAATTGCTTGCAGGGTTGGGTATATGTGGGTTCGTAATCATGTTTAATTGGTTGATGGGTGTATTTGGTATGGTGATGTTGTGGGGTTGGTTGTTAGGTTTGGGTGGGTTGACAGTGTTGCTAGGTTTGGTATTATTGTGAGGTTCGTTGTTGGGTGTACGATGACAAAACTTGTTGGTGTGTCGGGCTAGACATAAAATGCGTCGTTGTAACCAACCTATACCAATTCATATAATTTCAAGTTGGTCTAACATCCTGCAAGATAGGCTCGTTTATGATCCATTGATAACCTGCATATCAAGGGGATATAATTTGACATTAGAAAAACATGTGAAGAAAGAAAAAGAGCAGCCATAACAACATGCATATTCAAACCGAAATGGATTCAACGAACAAAATAGTGAGATTATATAGTTCATGTCGTCAGCCCGAACACAATTGTACAAACTCTCCAAATGTTGGAGCAAACTCTACAACATAATTAAATAATCCACTTTTAGTCTTTCTATTTATATGCAATTCGTTTTATATAACTATTTAATTTGATATCTAAAACAACGTTCTTTTCATAAAAATTACAACATTTTGGTTACAACAATTAAAACAACAACACGACAAACAAATAAAATAACTAAACAACATATTTATGCAAACATTACCATCAGGACAATTTCCTCTAAACTATGCATCATAATGCGGCAATCACTGACAGTTTCAACTGACTCCTGTAACACCCTTCTAAACCCCACAGAATATATATAAATAATCAGAGCAAATCATCATGCATTCACACAAGGGTGTCACACATAATTTTCAAAACATCAAAAACACCTGTCATGCTCATTAACACTTTAATAAATAATCGTGCTTTTCAAAATTTTACTTCGCATGTAGCAG